ATATGGCTTTAAGTTACCCATGTGACCATTTTCTCAGTCCATATATCCTTTTGGTGGTTATGGGTGTGTAACATGAGCTCAAGAAAAGTTTGGTTGGCTTTAATAGCTCTGAGGGACCATAGGACACAGGTGATAATTGAAGCTGTGGAAGCAAATAAAGTTGAGATTGAAACACTTTACTTTGATCCACAGTAAAAAATACCTTTCAATTCTCGACCAGTACATATCTGGCACATCATAGCTCATACATTTGTATATTTATAAAACAAATTACACAATTATATGCCTTTCTTCATGTAATTTACTTTGATGTTTCCTATTATCTTTCTTTTTTTTAGTGCAGATTTTTGGTGCCACTAAACTGTTTTCATGATTCACTACTGTGCTATGACCCCTGGTATTTCCCTATATAATAGAGAATGAACTTCTTAACCTTAGGAATGCGCAGAGGAGGAGCCTATAGAAGCATGGACAGGAAGTCAGAAGGAAGAACTTACATATCACATGTGGGAAATCAGAAAGCATTGTTTCCTCACTAAGGCTTCACACCTTAGTAACATTTGTTTCCAGACAAAAATCACTTTTGCCCAGAAACTTATGTGATCCTCAGTTTTCTGGAGAATGAGGTCATCTGATCCCAGTACAGCCACTCAAGGACTGAAGCTTCAGTTTGCTCATCTGTGAAAGAGAAACTCCATACCCTACTACCAAAGCAACCTGGTTGTACAGCCCAGAAATCTGGTTCATTTTGAAGTTTTCCAAGTACAATAGGAATACTTTCTAGTATTTTCAGTGTGTAAAAATAGCGAAAGGATGGGGCCAGGGTTGTGGCTCAGTGGTAGAGCACTTGCCTAGCATGTGTGAGGCACTGGGTTCAATCCCTGGCACCACATAAAGATAAATAGATAAATGTGTTGTGTCCATCTACAATTAAAAAAAAAATTTTAAATAGCAAAAGGATGATTGAAGAGGGGTGTGTTGAGTGGACAAAGCATTGGTCTGCAGATTTATGCAGCTCTTGAAACTGTTTAAACTTCATGATTCCCAACTTATTCCTCTAACACTTGTCTCTAGAGCCTGCTGGTGAAAGACATAGATGATATGTATATCTGCTGTGACCTCCTAAAAATAACTGCACTTGAACTTGCTGACATAAATAAATTTCAACTTTTTTAGAATGTTGAATTAACATTGTTTAATAAATTGTCACTTTAAAGGTTGGGGATGTAGCCCAGTGGTAGAACACTTACCTAGCATACATGAGGTGCCTGGTGTTGGTCCCCGGAATTTCAAAAGAAAGGAACAATTTCAGTCTTCAAAGTAATTAATAAAGAAATCTGTGTAATCTGGTATTTACTTTATTAAGCCTCTTTGAAGTACTTTCCTGTTGCAATCTTGTGCCCAGTGGTAGGTGGCTGGGACAAAATAATTAAGACCATAGAGTAAAAGTTATTAAAGGTTGAGTTTATGTGGTTTTCCAAGCATATCTTTGTTAGTAGTGGCGGGAACTGGTACTGCTCTGGGGAGAACAAATGATGGAATGAGCACAGTCAGCAGCACAATGCAGACAGATTGGTGATGCTAATTCTGCCACTGCAAGGACATCAGCTAAGGGAATTACTTTGTGGCATATATGTTCACTGTAGATTTGTAACCAAGATGCCATTCAGTTCTATTATCATTAGACAGGTATTTTTTGGCACTCAATTGTGATTGCCCTGAGGGACCAGGAGAAGGACTAGGGAACATGAAACCAGACCCCTTTGGGAGGATGACTGATTAATTTGGGCATCTTTATTAAGATTTTATTTAGAGGTATTTGTGATAACTCACACCTGTGATCCTGGCTACTTGAAAGACTGAGTCAGGAGGATCAAAAGTTTGAGGCCAGCCATGGCAACTTAGAGAGCCCCTTTCTCTAAATATATAGGGGATATAACTCGGTGGTAGAGTACTTGCCTAGCTTGGCCAAGGCCTAGGGTTTGGTCCCTAGTACTTCAATTTAAAATAAACAAAAAACTTGATTCTAGCCCAGTTCTAAAAGAGATTTTATTTTATTTTATTTATTTATTTATTTTTTTTGAGACAGGTCTAAGTTGCTTAGGGCCTCACTAAATTGCTGAGGCTGGCTTTCGAGTTTGCCTTCCTCCTGCCTTAGCCTCCCCAACCAATGAGATTACAGGTATGCACCACCACACCCACCTGGCTAATTCTTTGCAATGGTAGACTTGGTAGACTTTCTACACTGTTTGATAAACAATATAAAGGACTAAGGGCTGGACATGGTGGCACACACCTATAATCCCAGATACTGGGGAGACTAATGCAATAGGATTACAAATTTGCAGCCAGCCTGGGCAATTTAATGAGACTCTGTCTCAAAGTTTAAAAAGTGCTGGGGATATACTCAGTGGCAGAGTGCGTGCCAAGCATTTGTGAGGTCCCCAATACTGTAAAACAAATCATACAAACAAACAAAAAGGACTGAAAAGTTTTAGTCCTAAGAGACTGGGAACGGTAACTGAAATAAGTCACAGCATAAATTCTTTCCCTGATCACCTCTTAAGAACTGTTGCATTCTGAGAGGTGAGGCTTATGGCTTATGGCCAGGAGAGAGCTGGCAGGCTGCAGAACCACTAGCTTATATATAGTGGCCATCTTCCATGTCCAATTAAGAATACTGCCTCTTCTGGATACATTTGTTAGCATTAAGTTGATGTGAGCAGGCTGACTAAATTCATTTATCCCCTCCACAAATGAATGAAATACTGAACTCTAGAATGGATATTAGTATTTCCTTGCTAAGAAGACTCTTAGTAGTTTCTTGGTAGCTGAGGCAGGAAGATTGCAAGTTCAAGGCCAGACTAGGTAACTTAGACCCTTTCTCCAAAATTTTGGTGGCGGGCGAGGGGGGGGGGGTTGTACATGGACACAGTACCTTTATTTTATTTATTTATCTTTATGTGGTGCTGAGGATCGAACCCAGGGCCTCATATGTGCTAGGTAAACACGCTGAGCTACAACCCCAGCCGTCAAATTTTTTTTTTTTTTAAGGACTGGGGATGTAGCCCAGTAGAGTACCCCTGGGTTAAATCCCTGGTATGGAAAATGGAGGGGAGAATAAAGGAGGGAGGGATAAAGAAGGCATACCAAATTAATGAGATGGTTCTACTGTCCAGGGGTGTATTGGCTATCTACTCTGAGTAACAAATTACTCCAAAATTCAGTAGCTTAAAACAATAAATACTTATTATCTCATTGTTTTGGTGGGTTAGGAATCTTTTGCTGGATGCCTCTTGATTCATGATCATGAGGGTCTCTCGTGATCAAGGTATTACTAGTCATCCAAATCCAGTCATCCCTGTATTTGATTTAGGGTGAATTTGATTCCACTCACATGGTTGTTGGCAGAGACATTATTTCTTTTCACAAGGGCTTTTGCAGACTTCTCAAAACATGGAAACCAGAGTCTTTTTATAATATTAGGTTCCATGATTTTTGCCATATCTGAGTGAGTCACTAAGTCTAGGCTGTACCCAAAGAGAAGAGAATGCACGAGAGGATTAGTATAGGAGGTAAGGTTTGGAGAGCCAGTTAGAGACTGCTCACCCTGATTCTAGTGAGAGATTTCTACCAAAATCTATACCAGGAGGTACTGGGATTACCTTGGACCTCTGTCAGCCTGATGGGCTTCCCTCCTTCAAATGCTGCTGGAAGGTGGGCACTGCCAGTTAGTGGTTTTTATGTTTCCCTTTTCTTGGTCTAAGATGAGTTTCTATATTGGAACTATGGCTGAAGTCTGTGAAGCTGTTTCCTAAAATTACATTTGTGTTTTGAGCATTTTATATAAAGAGAGTGAGGCTACAGTGAACCAAAAAGTTTAAAAGCCACTAGTCTAAGTTAATGTTGGACTTTCTGTTTCGTCTTGGTTCAAAGAAGATACCAACCAGAGAATGGATAGATTATAATCCAATAATCAGTTAGCTATTCTCCCGTTAAAGGGAATTAAGATTATTCCCAGTTCACTTTGGATGGTATTTTGGACATTGCCATGCTCTTAAATCACAGAGCACATTCATACAAAAAAGTTTACTTCCATAGTTGGGAGGAAATCACACCAAATATGCTTTTTAGGGAAATAGTACTGTTAGGTAATTAACCAGCCATGAATGGGTGACCCCGGAAAGAACAATGAAGGGCAACTGAAAACCACAGGGAGGCTTATCTGAAAGATAAATATCTGGAAGATGGAATTTGGTATGTGAAAACCTCTACCAGCCATAATTACATACACTAAGAAAAATTAAGATCATGTCACACCCTACTAGGTGAGATAGCCTGGAACACTCCCTTATCACCAAAATTATGTCACAGCCCTCAATTACCCCAAACATGACCATCACAAAGAAAGCTTGCTAAAAACTATTCAAAGGGTAGTAAATTGATAAAGGGGCAGGAAATTGAAGCAAAAACAGGGGAACTCAATTACCTTATCATCCTCTGTTCAAGGTGGTCTGTGCAGTTCCTATACTGTTAGTCAGAAGTCAAGAGGTAGACCTAGGTAGGACTCTGGAAATGTCCTTGGGATCCCCAATAAAACTTGAGGGCAGGAGGGGCATGCTGTCCTTCTCTTTGTGAGGATCCATTCTCTCCCATGAGAGTGTCCCTTTTCCTATCCCTTCAGTAAACTCATGCCTGCTACTCTAAGTAACATGTCTGAAATCTTTATGGTATGATCACAAGAACTGGTGAAGAGAGGGCTTCTGCAGCTGCCTCAGCTTTGCAGCAGGCCTCTGTCTTGTAACAATACTAAGTCCCATGTTCTTGTGAAAAATGAAATGCTAACCAAATGTGGCTTTCTGGAACTGAGTTTATGATAGAAACAAACTGGCACATCAGAAGGTGAAGTGCTACCAGAAAGGAACTGAAAATGTAATGACAAGGAAGAATCCAAAAGTCAAAAAAAAAAAACAAAAAACTACATACAGGTCTTGACTTACCTCTAGCTACTTTTTATAGGGACAGGTAATGGTGTCCATGAACGTAGTTCTGGATTATAGCAGGATATCACTGCAGACCAACTGAAGTTCATGTTGATCCTGAATTATAAAGGTCGAAAGATGGAGGTCAGAGTTCAGAAAAATGGGTCATTTCAGCTTCCTTAAATCTGAAAGTCAGTAAGGCACTTTAGAAACATTGCCATTCAAAGTGCCTGAGATGTATACAGAGCATCAAATATAAAAGGAACATCCGTCACTTTTTTTGAAAACTTATTTTCTTGGAACATGTCATACCCCAGAAATATGAGCCATTAAACATGTATCTTTTATGCCCACGATTCCTTGGTCACTGACCACTTATACTTTCTTCTTTTTGGATTAGAAAACTTCCCCAGGTTATCTGTTCAGTGAACCTAAGAGTGCCCTGGTATGCATTAGAATAGTTTTTCCTTAGATAGTATTGTAATTGCATTATTTCTTAAAGCTTCCCTTCTGCTGCTTTTCTCTGCAAGTGTGTTTTTAAAGGGTGTTGTCAATTCAGTAATGAGGAAGTTATTGAAGACTATTTGGCGCTAAGTAGCTAAGGAATGAATGTATTGAATGTGAGCCCTTCCCCCCAGGGATTGTTCGAATCCTCTATGGAGAAGGCTCCTGTGTCTGTGGCCTGCGGAGGTGAGAGCCCCCTGGATGGAATCTGCCTCAGCGAATCAGATAAGACAGCTGTGCTCACCTTGATAAGAGAAGAGGTAAAGGCATTTTTTTTCTGTCTGCTTATCACACCATTTCTCTGTAAAGCCCATGTGCCAACCAGTAGATTCCATCTTTGTTGGCTCAAGTTGCCCCAGGCTGTAAGTTCTTATTTCCTACAGCTTGTGTAACTCAATATAAAGGGCTCCCTGTAAAACTCAGTATTGATGCTGAAGTCCTGACATGTTGGTGTCCACAGGAAAAGCCAGCACCCTGAAACATTCTTAAGAATTTGGTAGGCTTCTTTAACTTTTAGCCTTGAAGCATTAAATGTCTAATTTTGCCATCTCTGTTCTGATCCATTTTTAAGAGGCTTATGCCTAAGAATGCCTTAAATTCTAGGCATGTAGCTATAAAAAATTGTTTCCTAATTCCATCCATTCTTTAAACAGGTCAGCTCTCAAATTCCAGTATTGTGTTTTTAAACAGTCTCTATTCAAAAGACATTACCACAAGTATGCTTCATTATTCAGTTACCATCCTCTCCTGTCATATTTCTGTGCTGTATTTTATGTGTTTGGTTTATGTGTTCCTTGAAGATTCCACTTTTTCTTTTTTTAAAGAAAGTAATTCTGTTGCCATAACAATTTTATTTTTACACTATGATGAAAGTAATTAAGTACCTTTGCTCTAGGTCTTTCAACATTATATTATAAGTAACTTTAGACTGGTAACAAGGGCTGTCAGCCAGTCCTGTTGTCAAAACTTGGGAGCAGTGGTAAGGAAGCCTACCACTGCCACCCTGCTCATTTTCTTATAAATGAGAAAAATGACTTCGTCTTCCTCTTGAGAGTTAAACTCTGAGATAAATGACCACCTATTGAACCAAAGCAAAGACATGCCTTGTTGCCTGAAGCACACAGGGTGGCTTCTAGGTTCTTAGAGACACCAAAATAAAGAATATACCCATCAGGAATCAGGAAACACAGACAAGGAAGGGTAGTGAAAGGACAGTGGCAAACCCATTGGAGTTGAGGTAGTAAGTTGAAAATGTTTCCAGATAGTAAGCATCCCAAATATGGGTGTGGGTTTTGGCCTGACTGGCAAGATCCTTCCGATGGTGATGGATCCTAAAGAGGGATGTATCCAGCCTGGGGCATTCCCCTTGTGCACCCCTTGTTCTGACTCCATTCTTACCAGTCAGAAATCTCTGTAGAAAAGATTGTGCTGGTCACACCAATTTATAGTACTCTGATTTTGTGGCAGTTTCATTTCTCAAAGAAAATTGGTGGTCTGACATCTACTGCAATTATGTAACTTTGGCTAAGGTGAATCTCTGTCAGACGCTCTGCTCTTGGTGTCCTGTCCCAACTGTGTCCCTACAGAGTTGACAGCCAGACCATGGACTGAGGTAAAATTCATGGAACTTGTAAAATCCTCTAAAGTTCCTGGGAGATCTGCTTAACCTTATCCTAGTGGCTACATTTCATCATTCTACAGCTGAGAGTACACGTTTCCAAATGTTTATGAACATTATATACAAATGTCAAGGTTTTATATTCCTAATATCAACTGAATGCCTCAGGTTATACTTGGTCATGTGTTATTTTCAGTCTCCAATCTTAAATTGAAACTGTAACAGATTGATAAGGTAAAAACCAAGCTTTATTATCATTTAGATAATCACTAAAGAGATTGAAGCCAGTGAATGGAAGAAGAAATATGAAGAGACCCGACAAGAAGTTTTGGAGATGAGGTTTGACTGGAAGCTGGGGGGAGGGGTCAGGTGTCTTGAATATTATTAGATCTACAAGTGTTTGCTCACCACAGAACCAGCTGTTGGGAACTTGAGGGCTTTGATCTGAGATTACCTCACTTTGCAATTGAGAGTGTCATTTCATGAGTTATGTAGAACATTACATGTAAGCAAAGTTCACACTGTTATTGTCTTTTTTAAAGAATGGACAAATTTGTGCAAGAATATCCATATGGAATACAGAATAATAAGATTTATTGATAAGATCAATGATGGAGGCATTGAAATTCAATGGGGGATTGAACCTAGAAGTGCTCAACTCTAGAGCTACATCCCAAACCATTTTTATTATTTTGAAACAGGGCCTCACTAAGTTGCCCTGACTAACCTTGATCTTAGGATCATCTTGCCTCAGTCCCCCAAATAGCTATAATTACAAGCATGTGCCATTGGGCCTGCAAAATCCATAATAATTTAAAATAGTCATACATAGTAGCTTCAAGTTACATAATCATCACATGGATTATAAGTAGGCATGTTAATAGAAAACAAAATTGACTTTAAATTGAAATCTTTTAATTTATCCTCTTTATTCTTTAAGAGAATTATGTACCATTAAGTGGCTAAGGATGGCATCAAAGAAGAGAAGGAAAAACCATACATAGTTCATGCTTGTACAGTCTGCATTTGAGTGATTAAGAAACATTTTAGCTGGGTAAAATGGCACGTGCCTGTAGTTCCAGCTACTTGGGAAGCCGAGACAAAAGGCTCCCTTGAGCTTACAAATGCCAGGACTAGACATGGGGAGACCCTGTTACGTAAATTTGTATATGTAAATCAGTATATATCAATGAGTTTAATTGTTTGAGGGCAGCATTTCTCTAAATTCCATTGTATGAAAATTCTCTTCTGAATATTCTTTTTTCTATTTAGGAAAATTGTGGCTGAATATGAAAAGACCATTGCCCAAATGATTGGTAAGGAGTTTTTTTTCTCTAGGGCATGAGCCATAGAATCTGAGTCAGTTCATGCTGCCTTAACAAGGTACCATAAACTAGGTTACGTATAAACAACTGGCATTTATTTATTACAGTTCTGAAGGGTGAGGAGACCACGATCAAGGTTCTGTCAGTTCCGGTGTCTGACATGGGCCTGTTCCTTGTAGTCATGGCCTTCTTACTTTGTCCTCACCTGGTGGCTGAAGGGGATAGCTAGCTAGCTCTTTGTGGTCTGTCTTTTCACACACATAATAATTGTCCACATCTGTGGGGTGCACTGTGATAATTTGATCCATGAATGCAGTGTGCAGTGATCTAATCAGGATAATTCACATGTCCATCTCAAGTATGTATTATTTCTTTGTACTGAGAACCTTTGAACTCCTTTATTCTGGTTCTTTAAAAAAATAAATAATAAATTGTTATAAATTATAGTCACCCTACTATACTATAGAACATTAGACCTTATTCCTCATATCTAACTATAATTTGGGACCTGTTATCCAACATCCTTCTTTCCCTCCCTCCCCTTCCCAGCCTCTAGAGACCAACATTATATTTTTTACTTCTGTGAAATCAACTTATTAGCTTCCACATACAACTGTGAACATGCAGTACTTACCTTTTTTTTTGCCTAGCTTAATTCACTTAACATAATGATCTTGGTTCTGGGGTCTCTTCTAGAAGGATATTGACCTGTCTCTGCCTCATAACTTAATTACCTCCACAACCCCCCTCTCCCAACACTATCATATTGGGGTTAGGTTTCAGCCATGTGAATAGGGGAACAAGGAGCATAAACATTCAGACCATAGCAGGAGATCTTAATATGAACTTCAGTTTGTTCATCATCTATCTCATTTCCATGATAGGCATATTCTACAAAGTTGCTTCAAATGCTGAACTGGTGGATACTGAAGCATACTCCTAAGAGGAAAAGCAGGACTAAGTTCCTGTGAGCCTATGGTCACAACATTTATATCAACTGATCAATATGTAACCTTGTCTTATATGTGTTTCCACTTAAACACACCTTGTTTAATATATATTATTGATTTTTTTAACATTGAATTCATGTTCAACAGGGTGTCAGTTCACATCTGAACAAAACTTACCTGGCACGTGTATTTTTTTTATTTATATGACAGCAGAATGCATTAAAATTCTTATTACACATATAGAGCACAATTTTTCATATCTTTGGTTGTATATAAAGTATATTTACACCAGTTTGTGTCTTCATACCTGTACTTTGGATAATAACAATCATCACATTCCACCATCATTAATAACCTCATGCCCCCTCCATTCCCCTCCAACCCCTCTGCCCTATCTAGAATTCATCTATTCCTCTCATGCTCCCTCTCCCTATCTCACTATGAATCAGCCTCCTTATATCAAAGAAAACATTCAGCATTTGTTTTGGGGGGGATTGGCTAACTTCACTGAGCATTATCTTCTCTAACTCCATCCATTTACCTGCAAATGCCATGATTTTATTCTCTTTTATTGCTGAGTAATATTCCATTGTGTATATATGCCACATTTTGTTTTATCCACTCATCTGTTGAAGGGCATCTATATTGATTCCACAGTTTAGCTATTGTGAATTGTGCTGCTATAAACATTGATGTGGCTGTGTCCCTGTAGAATGCTGTTTTTAAGTCCTTTGGGTATAGACCGAGGAGAGGGATAGCTGGGTCAAATGGTGCTTCCATT